TGTGATTTGAGATGCTCAGGGCTGATCCTGTGCAGCTGTTGGTTTGGTGTTCCCATACCACTGCAAGGAAAAGAAGCAGTGCTGAGAACCTGCAACAAATAACAAAATGCCCTCAAAGTGCCCACATTGCTCAGCATGGCTGGGCAGCAGTTCCCACCCTGCAGAACCAACCTGGGGCCCCAGTGTGGGACAGCACAGCTTGTAGGGCTGAAGGCTCCAGCCTGGACCAGAGCACACTATCAGCAAACCAGCATGCACAGCTCTGGTTTGGGGTGATAGTGCCCAGCAGGTGATGCACAACATGGATGTGACCCCATTGGCACCACCACCCTCACTGAATGGCACTCAGCTCCCAGTCTACACCAAGCCTTTGGTTTTGGGAAGGCACCATTCTGCCAGGAAGAGGAGGAGAGGGGAAGAAGAAGGGAAGGAAAAAAAAAAAAGAAACCCCACAAAAATGTCTTCATAACAGGAAACGTCTCATAAAATACCTGTGGTTTGGCATGTGCAGTCTGGCTGGTCCAACTATGCACCTGGCAGGCAACCCTGCTATTAGTGCTGCGCAGTCTGAGATTTGGCAGAGCTGGGTTGGAGCCGGAGCCCTTCGTGGGGCTGGGTGCAGGGGGACGTGCCCACAGGTCACATAGATCCCTGCGTCCCCTAAGGGTGCAGAGAGGCAGACTGAGCCCAAAGCAGAGCACCCTACACCCAGCTGCAGAGCAGACCCAGCATGCTGCTTTTAAGCAGTTTTAATTGGCTGAGCACAGCTGGGTGAGGAGCTGCTCTTCATGAGCCCAAAGGCGTGCTCCTTGTGCGGAGACCTGCAGCACTGCCAGCACCCACATGGCCGGGATGCATCGCACCGCACTGTGGGCACAGCATTGCCAACACCGCTCTGTGCAGCAGTCAGGACCCACCTGCTGCTGGATGCAGCGAAACAGCAGTTTGTGATAAGGGTCATAAGAGCAGAAGCACCACGTTTGGACACATTGGGGCACTAGTTTTCCATGCTGATCTCCATCCCCACCAACGCACATCTGCAGCTCTGTAGGCACCGCGGTGCCACCATCACGGTGCGCATCAGCCGCGATCAGCCCGAGGTTTTGACAGCTGGAGGTGAGGGATTAAGGCCTGAGCCGTGCCCTGTGGCAGGCTCACGCCTTGCTGCTCTGCGGCACACGCACACCCAGGGTCACTAATCCGCCTTAGCTGACCCCTGACCCCACAGCTGTGGGATCAACAGTGGCACCAACATCGGTGTCAGCACCGCTGCGGGGATCCGGCCTCCTTGGCACCACGGGCGGCGTGCATCGTGTGCATCCATGCCACGTCCCTTGTGTCATCCTCCAGAACATCGCTTTGGGGCAGGGTGTCCTTCCCTCTGCTCCCTGTTGCACATGGCCTGGGTGTGCAGGAAGACGAGTCAGGACGGGGAGAAGCTCCCAGCGTGGGGTTTGCAGCCATCTCTGCAGCAGCTGTGCACAGTGCAGCTGGTCGGTGTGCAGCTTCCTGTAGCCCTGTGCTTACAGCCTTCCAACTCGTCCCGCTGCAGCCCTGCTCCTCGCCGTGCCCCGAGCTGCCCTGTGCGCTCTGATCGCCTGCGGTCGTTGTTAGTGCAGCAGGAGTTAATTAGCACGGAGCCCCCAGCTCTGCAGTTAATTTGGCTGCAGCCCCTGCCTGGATCGGAGTGCTGTGTGTGGACACGGCCAGCACTGACTGCAGCACGTTGTGAGCTGTGGTGATTGGGCCAAAGGGCAGTGCAGCGTGCTGTGCCACATCGTGCCATGCCATGCCAGGCCGTGCTGTGACATTCCATGCTGCACCACGCTGGCCAAAAAATGTGGCGATGCTGTGCCGCGTTGTGCCATGCTGTGTCATGTGATGTGATGCCACGTCGTGCCATGCTGTGCCATGTGATGTGGTGCCATGCCGTGCCGTGCCTCTCTGTGCCATGCTGTGCAATGCCATGCCATGCCAGGCTGTGCTGCGCCAAGCAGTGATGCTGTGCCACGTCACGCCATACGGTGCCATGCAATAGGATGCTGTGCCACGCCGTGCTCTGCTGTGCCGTGTGATGCCGTGCCGTGCCAGCGCTGTACTAATGCCAGACATGGGTGCAGCAGGGCAGCAGGAAGCTGTGTGCAGATGGGGTGGGATGTTTTTCTTTCGTCAAAGAAAATGTTTTCTTGTTCCCTCTGATGAAGGCCGGGCGAGGCCCTGGATCCGCGCGGCGCGTACAGCAGCTTTTGGCTGCGATCCGGCGTCATGCATTAGGGGCTCTCCGTGCCAAACTTCTCCCCGCGCTCCTGCGCTGCTCGGCCGTGCGCTGCTTTGGCTCCCACAGCCCGTCCTGCGGAAGCACCGTGCTCACTCTCCCTTTCAATAGCTCACTTTTCGTTTTCGCCTCCTTTTATTATGATTTTTAAAGCACGCGTAGCACAGACCCAATCATTTGCCTCCTGCTGGAGTCCATCCAGCCCCGTGTTGGGCTTGGAAATCCTCCCTGCTGTATTTTTTTATTGCAAATGACCGGGGATGGAGCTGCTGGATGGGACCTGGTGGCGGCCAAGTGCAGCCCACCCACGTGCTGATGCTGCCCAAGCTTTCTCCTTGCAGTGTCCACCCAGAGATGGGGGACATGTTTTGCTATGCAGTGCTGCACCCATCCCCATGCTCAGTTATCCCTGTGCCCGAGCACGTGGCACAGGGACGGGCACGGAGCAGCCCATCATGAGCCCTCTTGGTGGCTCATGAATGTGGCCAGAGGTTGGTACAGCTCCGGTTGGATCCAGGGCTGGATTTGGGATTGCTGTGCCCAGCATTGATAGGGCTTTTACTGCTGTGTTTAAACAACTCCTCCGCTTCACTGACCTCCAACCACAAGCGCAGGTCCCCCGCAGACCGCCTATATTGACTTAAAAATAATTAGCCTTGGAGTGAGCGGGCGCTGCGCTGCCTGCTGGCCCCGTCGTTAATATTTAAATAACAGCAACCATAAATCAGCCACAGCCCTGTGAACAAGTGCGGGGTTGTGTGAGCGGGGCCGCGCCGGGGGCTGGGACACGGGGCTGGGGGCGAAAGCAGAGAAGGTGCCGGTGCTGCACCGGATGGTGCTGGGAGCACAAGGCACAGCCTGTCTGCGGGGCTCCCTTGGCCCCACGCTCCTGTGAGAACAAGGTGACACTTCTTGTCTCGGCTCTTGGACTCAAAGTGTGAGATTTTTCTCTCCCTGGTGCTTTCATTGCGTGCCAGGGGTTTTTAACACGTCCTGCTCACGCGGTGCTGGGGGAGTGCAGCGGCTGTGCGCTCTGAAGCCGTGCCAGGGGGCTCTGTGCTGTGCCAGGGGTCTCTGTGCCATGCCACCACGCCATACCAGGGGTCTCCACACTGTATCAGGGGGTCTCTGTGCCGTACAAGAAATCTTGGTGCCGTGCCAGGGGTCTCCATGCTGCACCAGGGGTCTCCATGTCATACCAGAAGTTTCTGTGCCGTACCAGGGCTCTCCGTTCCATAACAGAGATCTCTGTGCTGTACCAGGGCCTTCAGGTCATCTCCCCACAGCTGGGAGCATGGGGACCATCCCTGCTGGTGGCACCCAGCTGGCTCCTGGCCCTATGGGAGGAGCAGCTCTGGCTCACAGCCTCCAAAGGATGGACTCATTGCGCAGCTGCTAATAGCAATTAATCAGCGCTGCGTAACGCAGCTCTTGGGCATGAAAGAGCCTCACACACACTGCAGGCACTTTATTCAACATAGAGATCTCCAGATGTCTCCCTTTGGTTGTTATGAAGTCACCAACTGCAAGGACTGGGTGTTGTGGGACCTGCAGCCCCTGGTCCCAAACCTCATCCCAGCCCACGGGGAGTGCTGCGAAATCGCTCAGCTGTGTTAAGGGAGAGCACACATCCCCTTCTGCTCTGGCTGCGCCGTGCCAGGCACTGCTCCCAGGGAGTGGGACAGCCAGGAGCATCCCATGGGGACACTGTGTCACGGGGGGACAGGGCTGGGTAAGGCCTGGGTGCCAGAGAAGAGAGATGGGGAAGGAGGGGATGGGATGAAGTCAGAGCCAGAGGCACGGGGGTCATTCCAGGTAAGGCAAACAAATAAATAGCTGATTCAGGGGTTTGTTCTCCTCTTTTATTTAGCAGAAACCGTATTTTTACAGCTGCAATCCCTTAAAATGGGATTTTTCCCCCCCTTACACAGATCCCTGTAAAATAATGCTTCATAAAGAGAAGCGTTCCTCTGCTAAACCCCACAGACAGACAGCAGCACGGCGCTCCTCCTGCGCTGCCCAGCACCACGCAGAACCCGTCCAACACCTGTCCAGGGAGCAGCCCTGTTCCCTCTGCTTAATTGCTTTAATTTTATTTGTGTTGATGTATTTATTTCTCCCCTCTGCGCCGCAGCTTTCTTCTTTTTCTCACTGCTGTTTCAGCAAAAAACATCCAGGAAATTCCGATGAAATCCCAGCGCGCAGCAGCCCTGCCCCGGCGGGGAGAGGCGAAGAAGGGCTTAATGCTCATTAATTACCACCACGGGTCAATTAATGCGAGGAGGAGGGAAACAACCGGCAAAGCTCCTTGCCATCACATGTTCTTTAAGCTTCCAAAAAGAAGTGCAAATCAATCTGGCAATGAAAACATTGCTGGGGGAGAGGTGTCTGTACAGCTGTTTACATCCAATAAAGCAGGCGCTTCAGGCTGGGGCTGCTGCTCCCACAGGGGTTTTTTCCACGCACCCAGGGGTGCCTAAAACAATGGGAAATTGCACTGGGGGGGGGTTTTGCTCCCTGTGGGGCCTTTCCTAGAGAGCTGGCTGTGCGCTGCTCACCGATCCTCACGGGATGTGGGGCTGCGCATCGCGGTGCTGCCGGGGCCCCCCCTCACTGCTGCTCTGTCCACAGGAGCGTTGTGGAACAGGATGCTGCCGGACGCTGCGGTGCTGCTGCTGCTGCTGCTGCTGGTTGGCCTTCGTGCAGCGGCGGCGGGAGGAGCGGCCGGATACGCGCAGGTCAAGTACATGCAGCCCATGGTGAAGGGGCCCCTGGGACCCCCATTTCGGGAAGGCAAAGGGCAGTACCTCGGTAAGGGGCGCGCTTGGAGGGGTTGGGAGGGGGGGGGTGATGCTGACTGCGAGAGCAGGAGACCTGCCTGCAGCATCCCATAGCGCCCCATGGCATCTCGCTGCATCCCTCAGCCGCTAAGCTCTCCCCATCACACCCAAACCCCACAGTCAGTGCCCTCTGAGCAGGTGCTTCCACCTCTCAAAAAAGCCCAGGAGATTTCAGCAGAGAGAAGCTGAGCCCCTTGGCTCAGGCAGGGGGGTCTCCTGGTTCCTGCCCTGTGCCCCTCCTGGTCACATCCCCCGGTGTCTCACTCTGGGACCTTGTGTAGGAAGCAGCCCCACAGCCCTTTGCTCTCTTCCTCCCATCCTGCCCATTTGCAGTGGCTCTCATCCTCCACCTATCCTGTTTCCCTGCCTGTGTTTCACACCAGCTGGGAAAGGAGAGAGGGCCAAGGCCCGAGCTGGGAGACCCAGCCCAGCACAAAGAGAGCAAGTGAGAGCGATTTCCTCTGCCACACGTGTTAAATCAATCCCCACCAGGCGACATGTGCTGCTTGCAGGGGCAGAGGCGCTGAGGTCATTGCAGGGAGCAGCCAGCCCAGCTGCAGCTTCCAACCGAGCCACAGCCCTTCATAACTGCTGGCTTTGAGCTGCCCTGCTTCCACCTTGTCTGCTTCCACAGAGTGCACACACATCCTGCCTGCTTCCATGCCCTGCATGTATGCATGCACTCCCTGCTTGCCTTTGCTGCAGAGCCCTGCTCTCTTTGTGCCCAGTCGTGCAGCACAGAAGGCACAGGTGGGTCCATCAGTGACCAGACCAGCTCGTTAACTCCACACTCTCTCTGCAAACAGCTAGCACTGAGAGTGGCTGAGTTCCTGCAGCATTTCTTGGCACAGACCGCATGCCAAGGGACCCTAACCCAGCACCCAGGTGATATCTGCAAGTCACAATGGGGGAATGACAAGTGTGACTGAGCCCTACCTTTGGTACCATCACAGCATCTCCTTCTGGAGCCAGCCTCTAGGACGGGGCAGATCCCTTGGGCAGTCCAAGGTGTTAACAGCTACTGGGACTCCCCGGGCTCACTCGGAGCTGGACCCTCCAGGAAGCCCAAGTGTTGGCTCTGGGAGGAGGAACTGGAGAAAGCTCAGCTGCCAGTGGCTGATTTACTGCTGGGAGGAATGGCTTATCAGGAGTTCAGCTCAGCACATGTGTCAGAAAACACACAGCAAAACCTGGAGCTGAAGCGTGCTGGGAGCCCCCGCTCCCTGCCCCCTTCTCAGCTGTTATAGAGCTGCTCTCTGAATCCCAGCCAGAGACACAACCTTCCAGCACAGCCTCACCAAAGAGCAGCACTTCAGCTGCTGATGGTCCTGGATTCAATATCTCCCTGCTGCTTTTCCTGCTTTTTTCCTCCTCCTTCCCCACACGTCAGGGCGGCTTGTCCTACCTCTATGCAGTGGTGGAACAAGCGTGCTGGGGGGCTGCACGGGTGCCAGGCTGGAGTGGGCACAGAGCCACACCGATTCAGGACAGAGCAAAGCAAACAGCATGTGGAGGGCCCCTGCTGAGCCCCCCAGCTTTCAATGCCCAAAATAACAATGGGAAAGATGGAGGCAGGTGGGAATACCGGTAGCTCCCACATCCCTCTGAGCTCCTGTGTAATGGCTCCTTTGGCAAGGCACATCCCTGCTGGCCCCTTGCCCTGCTCAGGACACAGGGCCGTGCCAAGCACTCTGGTACTCCCAAGCCTGATGTAGAAGCTGGGACCCCAACGTGGGGAGGAGCAGGGCCGGTCTTTGGGGCTGCTGGTGCCACCTAGTGAGACGGACAGGGCTGCCTGCCCCGGGGTGCTGAGCAATAGAGTGCCCCCCCCCTCCCCAAATAGAGTCCAGGGTGAATGGATGCAGCCGCGGGCAGGGGACGGCCACTAGGATCCATACAGCAGTGCCCACGCGCTGCGGGGCCGAGGTGAGAGCTCCCAGAACTCCTTCCCCTTCCCCTGCCCCAGCTGGCTCGGAGCATCAGCATTCATGGCAGCTTTGTTCATGCTTCGAGGGGAACACATAACCCCATGCTGCTGCTGTGAAATGCAGAGCTCCGAGACATGCGTCTGTGGTAAGACATGGGCTTTTGAAATCGGATACCGCCGGGGCTGCAATGTCCCAGTTTCTCCCCACTAACGTCCCCGGTTTGGTTTTCCCGTCTGCTTTTTGGCCGCCTGCACGCTGGCAGCCCATGCCTGGCGTTCTGCTGTGCTGCGCCGTGCGGCTGCGTGCGCGCGCTTCTCTCTTCCACGGGCTCAGCTGTAGATCCTTGTTCTGATCCCATGCAAAATGACCTAGAAAATTAATTCTTTTCAAACCGTGGCAAGAGGGAAAAAATAAAACCGGGTTGGGGATGGGGGATGGGGGGTGGGGGGGGGGGAGGAAACACATTGAAATCATTTTCCGGATAAAAATTTTTCCAGAATTCAAGCCCCAGAAATGTGCCTTAGTGCGGCACTTCATGTCTCCCTGCTTTCCCACACCGCTTTCTGGGGTGAGGAGCAGAAACCCAGCAGCAATGCCAGGGCAGATGAGCATTTCCTTAACGCGTGCTGCCAAGTGCCCTGTGCTGCAGCACAGCGCTTGGGCCTGGCTGAGCGGTGGGGATGAGCACTGAGAATGCTTCCATCACCAACAAACACTGGGCACACAGCTGGGACACAGCCGTGGTGCGTTGCTGCTCTCAGTGGAGGCGAACTGCTGCTGTTATGCTTCTCATGTGTCTCAAATCCCCCCGGATCTCCTCCCGCTGACCAGGGGGGGATCAACGCATTGGCAGCTGCTGCCCTGCTCTGGGCTGGGCTGGGTGAGCTCGAGGTGCTGAGGTCTCTGCCCTTCACATTTCTCGTGGCAGTCCTGCCAAGCATTCCCTTCATTCTGAGCTTCCCCAGAGGGATTTTGCTGCGTTCACCCTTTCTCACCCATTCTCCATGTCATGTGTTGCAGCACCCGCCCGCTCTCAGGGGGTGATTTATGCTCACGTCTGCGCTTTTCGCGCGTAGCTGCGGTGGGCATGTAATCCAGCCCCTGCTCGCTTTGTAGTCTCTCAGCCCATTACTTTCTTTCTTATATCCGTTTGCAAAAGAGCTCTATAAATTCTTGAGATGTCAGGCGGCGGCGGCCCGCTCCCAGCTGGGCTGACTCACTTGGACGCGGTCGGGGCTGCGCTTCCCTCGCAGCTATTGGAGCTTTTCCTCCATCCTCAGCGCTTTTTCCTTTGTAAGTTTCTCTCCACCTCGCTGGATGGCGGAGCGGGGCCAGAGAACAGCATTGGCGTGTCTTAACGAGTCGCACATCACCTCTCTGGGTTCTCAAGAACATGTCAGCGTTTTCTTTTTAATCCCAAAAGAGACCCAACCATGCACGGGTCTCCAGGCCTCAACCCATGAGGGAATCATTCAGGTTGAAAAAGCCCTCTGACATCACCCAGTCCAACCCCAACCCATCCCACCGTGCCTGCTGACCGCATCCCTCAGCCCCAGCATGTGGCAAAATGGAGGTGCAGCCAACTGGAGGCACCCCGACACGGCAGCCTGACGTGTCCCCAGCTGGCTGCCGCCCCAGTAAAGCTCCGTGCTCTCTTCTCTCCGCAGACATGCCGCCGCTGCTGCCCATGGACCTCAAAGGGGAGCCAGGACCACCTGGGAAGCCCGGCCCACGTGGCCCCCCCGGACCTCCTGGCTACCCAGGAAAGCCAGGCACGGGGAAGCCAGGCATGCATGGTCAGCCAGGGCCTGCGGGGCCCCCTGGCTTCTCTGGCATCGGGAAACCTGGCATCCCAGGACTGCCTGGCAAAGCGGGTATGAAGGGGATGCCCGGAGCCAAGGGTGAGCCTGGTATGCGGGGAGAGCAAGGGCCCAGAGGACTGCCTGGCCCCCCAGGGCTGCCAGGGCCCGCTGGCATCTCAGTCAATGGGAAACCAGGACCCCAGGGCGGCCCAGGGCTGCCAGGGTTTCGGGGTGAGCCTGGCCCCAAAGGAGAGCCAGGACCCCGTGGGGAGAGAGGGATGAAGGGTGAAAATGGGGTGGGAAAACCAGGGCTGCCAGGGCCACGGGGCAATGGTGGCCCTCCTGGCCCTGCGGGGCCGCCAGGACCTGTCGGCGTTGGCAAACCCGGCCTCGATGGGCTGCCTGGAGCGCCAGGGGAGAAGGGTGACATGGGCCCCCCCGGGGGGCCAGGGGTCAGTGGGGAACCCGGACCTGCAGGGCCACGGGGGCCGCCTGGCATCGATGGGATCGGCGTCCCCGGTGCTGCAGGGGTGCCAGGGATACAGGGCCCTATGGGGCCAAAGGGGGAACCGGGCATCCGCGGCCCCCCCGGTTTGCCGGGCGCCACAGGCTATGGGAAGCCAGGCTTGCCCGGCCTCAAAGGAGACCGCGGGCAGCCCGGGGTGCCGGGAGCCATTGGCGATAAAGGGGAACCCGGAGTCGATGGCGAGCCGGGTGAGCAGGGCCCCGCCGGCATCATCGGGCCACCAGGCCCACCGGGGTCCACAGGGCTGCCGGGCAAGCACGGGCTGCCAGGCCCTAAGGGCGACGTGGGGCCCAGCGGGCCGCCAGGAATGCCAGGGATGCGAGGTGACCAGGGCCCGAATGGCTTCGCAGGGAAACCAGGAGTGCCAGGAGAGAGGGGTCTGCCCGGCTCACAGGGCCCCCCCGGCCCAGCGGGCCCCAAAGGAGAGCCGGGGTTCATCGGCCTCCCTGGGGTGCCGGGGTTGACGGGTGGCCCCGGGCCCAAAGGGGACGGTGGGATCCCGGGGCAGCCGGGGCTGAGGGGCCCCTCGGGCATCCCCGGCTTGCAGGGACCCGCAGGGCCCATGGGGCCTCAGGGGCTGCCGGGGCTCAAAGGGGAGCCGGGGCTGCCCGGTGTTCCCGGCGAGGGGAAGATGGGCGAGCCTGGCGTGGCCGGCCCCATCGGCCCACCAGGAATGCCAGGAACACCGGGGCTCAACGGGCCGCCCGGCCCCCCTGGGCCTCCTGGGCCACCGGGAGCACCGGGGGTGTTTGACGAGACGGGCATCGCGGGGCTGCATCTGCCTGACGGCGGCGTGGAGGGCGCCGTGCTGGGCAACGGCAAGCCGGGCAAGCCGCAGTACGGCCGCGGGGAGCTCTCCGCCCGCATCGCGCCCGCCTTCACCGCCATCCTCACCTCCCCCTTCCCGGCGTCCGGCATGCCCGTCAAGTTCGACCGGACTTTGTACAACGGGCACAACGGCTACAACCCGGTCACAGGGATATTCACCTGCCCCATCTCCGGCATCTACTACTTCGCCTACCACGTGCACGTCAAAGGGACCAACGTCTGGGTGGCTCTTTATAAGAACAACGTGCCCGCCACCTACACCTACGATGAGTACAAAAAAGGCTACCTGGACCAGGCGTCGGGCAGTGCCGTGCTTGAACTGAAGGAGAACGACCAGGTCTGGGTGCAGATGCCCTCCGACCAGGCCAACGGGCTGTACTCCACAGAATACATCCACTCCTCCTTCTCTGGGTTCCTGCTTTGCCCCACATAACGGCTGTTGGGCGCATTTCCTTTTCACACACTTTAGCCATAAACTGTCATTTTTTTTTTGGTTGGTTTTTTTTTTTTTTAATATTTTTTTTTTTTTTTTTTTAATGAATACAAAAAGAAAATCACTGGGAAGAACGCGCAAGCCGTTGTCGCGGGACATTGCTTCACGCTGTTTGATCCATGAGTCGAGAGGGTCATCAGAAAGGAGAAGTTTTTCTTTCTTCCTTTCTTTTTAGGGGCAGGAGGAAGGGAGGGAGGGAGCAACTTTCTCAGCAAAGTGTATTTGGAATAGATTTTCCCCTAGTGACTGCACATCAAACACAGGAACTCGCTTGGGATGGCAAGGATCTGGTAATGCAGCATGTTGCTCCGTGATCCAGAGAGGACTGGAGCGGACCCCTCCAGTCTACAATTAGTGCCCTCGTTTCCCATTCTGAGTTCAGTCAAATAAACGCAGCCGATGTGGTGGATGGTGTGTTTGCTAACCAGCACGGGGTCCCAAGCACTTACCACAAACGCATACAGCAGCAGAGATCCTTGCTGGGTTGAGGATTTCCTTCCCAAACCATCCGATGTCCAAGTTCCAGTCTCCCTGATGCCTGTTTCTTCAAGCTGCTTTGAAGCAGTGTCTGATTCACTCCGGATCCAGTGTGGTTGGATTTACAGTCAGAGAACGTGGAACACTATGCATAAGCACCTTCTTAGAATAAGTAAATATTATTTTTTAGCCCTTCCCCAGCATATTTAGGAACGAAACCATCCAGGCATCGGTCTCTGGGAGGACGACAGCCTGTTGCAGGGACACTGGGACCCTTGGGTCCTCTCTCGCATTAACCCAGCAAGCCTGAGAGCTGCTCCTATCCCGCACGTTTCTCTGCAGCCCAAAGGCTTGGCCTCGCAGCACGTCACTCCATCCAACACAACGGCACCGCGATGTGCCAGCAGATGGAGTTCAGCTTTCCTGCAGGTGCCAGCCTGCTTGTGCTGTCCCACTCCTTCACCACGCGTCAGCTTTCACACTGGTGTTTCCCATCTTCTCTTTCTTTCAACCGAGGAGCAGCCATCACTCCGACCTTCCATTCCGTCGTCACACAGCGGTGCTATGACCTGCTTAAGTTACGTACCAGCGTAGTGCAATATGGTGCTGTGAATGCGCCGTTCCAGGTGCGTTCCTCTGCTAAAACATTCCCATGTGTCATTGCCACTTTGTTCCCTAATGCTTGAAGATGTCACCGACCCAAACAGGAGCTGCAAGGTTTTGGGGAAGGAACGTGGGATGCTGACCGCGTGGCTGCTCTGTCCTTGCTGGCGGGAGGAATCAAACTGTTGCTTTGCAGGTTTTCTCATGGCAGAGCAGCAATCGCCACTTGCACGTAGAGAAAAGCAGTTCTCATCCCAGGAAGCTGCATGCTGCTGGAGGCAATCCGCTGCGTGTCCCTCTGCAAGGGAACATCCCCGAGGAAACAGCGACGATTTGGTCACCAGCTGAGCAGCTGGCAGCCTTACATTTCCCTAAAGCCTTCTCTATGGCCAAAGAAACAAAATGTAGCAAGAATGAGACTTGGGGCTGTTCTTCAGATGGACTGTACAAAATATTTAAACAACTTTTCTTTTTTTTTTTTTTTTTGGTTGGTTGGGTTCTTTTTCTTTTCCTTAAGCCTGTCACGTGTTTCTGCCTCTTGCCATGCAGGGCTTCCCCATAAAAACACCCCGGCCCTGCATAGAAGAAACACGAAGGTGTAAAGCTGAAGGGGCAGCAGCTGGGGCTGGCATCTCTCCCCACGGTGGTTTTGCTCTGTGCAGAGCTGCAAGTCGTGGCGTGATGAAACTTTCTCAAGTTGAAACGCAGCCCCAGAGCTCTGATGCCACTGGACCTCGTAAGTCCTGGAAGCAGGGAGGTGCCAGGCCTGTTGGGTTCTGCTCACAGCCGGTTATTTCCCAGCAGGAACAGGAGCCAAAACAAAAATCCCAAAATGTCCAAGTGGAAGCTCGAATGCTTTCCTCAAAGCTGGGAGGAGGGCTCAAGGACAGAGCCTGTGTCTCTGGGTCTCCTCCACTGCAGTGATTCCTGGGGATACAGCACAGACTGGAGCTGCTGAGGTGGGATCCCAGCACGCTGCCCTGCAGCACAGTGATGTTGTGCAGTACCTGCAGGAGGCCAGCAGATTCCACGCGCTCCCAGCTGCAAGCTCAAGTCCTCTTCCTCAACAAAGCGACTTATTTATACTGTGTTCTAACCTACATTCAGCCTTTCTGCTCTGTTCTGGTTTACCGCACACGTCGTGTTCTGGCAAGAAAAAAAGACAGTGTCACCAAAAAACCAGGATCCCCCTGAGCGCTGTAGATATTGTTTTGCAACCTCTCCCTTCACACGCACGGCCATCAACCGTCACCAACCTGCATCACCTGCTGCATGCAGAAGCAGAAAGGCAGAGCTGTGACACACGCACACACGTGGGCTCCGAGAACGAAGCAGAGGACGAGGGGCTGCTCACCAGGCCAAGATGTTCTGCAGGACTGAGCGTGTGAGATCCGCCAGCAGGAAGGACTGCTGTGCGGTGTGTGAGCGTGTGGGATTCTGGTTTCGGTCACACTCAAGAAAACAGGTTGGGTTGGATGAAGTAGGTCGATTTTTAATGATGAAATCTGCATTACAATGTGCATTTTTATATACAAATCCTTACTATTTTTTTTTTTTTAATTCGCCTCTAGTATCTCCATTTCTAACCTAGTATATAGAGGTTTCTAGTTTTGTAAATACTTACTACATGCACTGTCTGCCATAGTAAAAGTTGGTTTAAAATGCACTCTTTTTGTGATCAGAAACTGGCCTTCTCTTCAGAACTAAAACTGCAGTACTTGATTGTATTGACAAACCATCAATAAAACTTATTGTACAAAGCTGGGGCTGGCGGTGCCTTCGTCCTCCTCGCCCCCCAGAGCTGTGGGCACAGGACAGGAGAGCACAGCTGTGGGGCAGAGCTGAACGTTTCAGTCTTTCATGGCTGGCCTAAAATGGGCTCTGTTTTTTAAACAGGAAACTTCAGTCCTTCGTGAGTTCCAAACACTTGAAAATTCTCCAGCTCCTTTAACAGGAAAAATGTCTTTTTTTAAATAGCTCTGTGGATATGTTGACATCTCTGGCAGGAAAATGTGAAAAATCTGACATTTTACACCTCAGAGCCGCAGCACAATACATAAATATACAAAAGAGCAAAATTCCACACCATCTCAGAACAAGATATTCATTTAAACAAGTAAAACCCATTAAAGCATCACACACAAGACTGGCACTTGAAGGAAGCAGAGGCAGGAAGGTCTGGAATGACCCCACACACCCAGATGTTCCACACGTGCATGCAGTCCAAAACACACAGCAGCCACGAGCTGTGACCAAAAGCAGCAAACTCCATTTGTGCACAACATTCACGTGCCACTGCCACAATCCAAGAGATAACAGGGTTACGTTGCCACGTTCACATTTACAAGCACTTCCATATGACGACTGCTTGCCTCTTCCCTTTTGGTTTTAATGATTAGAAGCTTGTAACCCTCTTCAGACGTGCCATGCACAAGCTGTTATTCCCTTTCTGACCAGCTCCCTTGGGCAAAAGTTTCAAGATTTTCAACTCTGGAACAACACAGCTGCACTGGAATATTCTCACCCATCAGTACCAGCTTCAAATCCCAATGTTTTGTCATCTTTTAACCTTTCCCTTTATTTTCAGATGCTTTTCACAGAGAATAAGAGTTCAGAAGCTATGAGAAGCAACTCCTGCTTTCAGCTGAAGCCATTTCTGTCACTGACTGCAGCAGAACCAAGAATTCAGTCCTTGCTTAACACCATGTTTCACAATTTTTATTTTTAAATAGCAATCTCCCTCGGGACATTCACAGGGCAGAATTAAAAGCACAGAATGTGAGGATTAGAACTAAGAAATGGCTGGAGTAGCTGCAGAAACGTGAGGCAGCTATCTAAGGGAAGACAAAGTGCAGTCAGTCAGGGCAGTGCCAGGCAGATTGCAGAGCAAAGGGCACCAAAGGGACATCATCAATGATCCCTGCCTAAAGGAGGGGGTTGGAACTACAGGATCTAAAGATCCCTTCCAACCCAAACCATTCTAGATTCCATTCTTCTTCCAGCAGTAACAGTTTGCCTACTGGGATTCCGTGTGCAGGCACCAAAGGCATCTCTTCAAACGCCACTGGCAGTGCAAAGAAATCCCTCCTCCCATCTCAGGCACTTTTCATTCTGCCTTTAATGAAGTGAACCTCCCTGTGAGCTCTGCTCTGCAGCATCCTCACTCCGCGCTGAAGGAGGCAACCTGTCCCCACACACAGCAAATCCTCCAGCTCTCCCATGGCTGCTCCTCTGGAGGCTCCCACCCCGATCCTCTTGCTTGTCAGTTGAGAATGAACGCTCACACCTGTCAGTGTTTTAAGGACGTGCATCCCATGAAAACCAATGCTGGACACGTTGCTACCAACAGAAATGAAGGACGTGGCAGTAGAGGAAAATAGTAAAAAAAAAAAGTCTGTGGATTCAGACACCACCTAGGAATAACAAAATGACAGATACAGAAGGGTGGGCCAAAGCAAGCAGCAGCCTTATAAAACTTGATGCTCTTGTACTTCAGAGATGCTCCCACTGTCCAGGGCACCACATGCAGCCGCTTCCCAGCACAACTGTCAGTGAAGGCTACGTCCCATCTCTTCAATCCCAGCTGGTGCTTCCACCTCTCTTCTCACAGCAGCAGGTGTTTCCTCAATGGAGGCTCGCTGCATCTGCATGGCACGGATCCACCACCAACTTTATGACCAGAAAAGCAGAGGCAACCACCTGCTTTGCCTTCTGGACACACACTCCCTTCAGGCTCAGAGCCGTTGGCAGTACAGTTCATGTAAGCTATCTGCCATCTTCTGTGTCTCTTGAAAAGCTTCGCAGCTCTGCTCCCAACTTGGGGGTATCTGTTCTTCCCCATAATAAGCCCCTGCAATGGCTCCTGCCATGGTAGCAATGGTGTCTGTATCTCCACCCAGAGAGATACAGTAGATGATGGTCCTCTGCAGGTTGTTGTAGTGCTCAGGAATATCTGGGTCAGCTTCCATGCAGCGCAGGAAGGAGTAAATGGCAGTGGGGACAGACCTCA